TAAATTATTTAACATGTAAAAAAGTACTTAAAGTAATGCCTGCACACACATCTTTTTTTCTCTCCATCACTAGGTATCCTCTTGTTTTGGGTTAATCATTTCATGTTCTGAATCCCATTTTCTTCTACCTATCGAGGGACCTTTTACCATGTAGTAACACATGTTCCCTGCATCTTTAATTTTTCCCTCTTTTCTGAGTCTATTCTAATAATAATCAAAAATATTCTCTGCATATTTACCACAATAATATGTATATATGTATTTTTTATTTGTTTGGGGGAATGAAAGATCATTTCTATTCAAATATCAGTATATTTTAAAATCCTACTAAGCTAAGCTCCCAGTTAACCCCGTTGCTCTGTCTTTAGAACCAGAGTACTTCAGATTGAATTATTCGGGCCCACAGTTTTTATTTCTGTGTATTCTTTGTCAATTGAAATATTGCTTCTAACTCTACGTCTACTCCCTTGTGTGCTATTATAAGGTCATCAGTGACTCCTTTGTGGCTATATCAAATATCTTTATATCTTTATATGTTGATGGTTTATATCTTTGAACTATCAACATTTGACCCTGTCAATCACCCCTTGAAACATCTTACACCCTTAATTTCTGAAATGTCTTACTATCCTTGTTTATTCTGTATATCTTTTTCACTATTCTGTCCTCCTTTTTTTTCCCCCTCCTTTATTTTACCCCTTGATTTGTTTAGCGAAAGGTTTATCAGTTTTGCTTATTTTTTTCAGAGAACCAAGGTTTAGCTTTAATTTTTTTCTATTATTTTAGGTTCATTTTGTTCTTTTATTAACTTCTTAAGATAGAAGTCTGGACCACTGTTACCTTTTTTTTAATTGTGATGAAACATACACAAAATTTACCACCATAACAGCTTTTAAGGGTACAGTTCAGTAGCTTTAAGTACATTTATATTTCTGTACAACCATCATTACTACCCATCTCCAGAACTCTTTTCATCTTTCAAAACTATAATTCAAGCCTGGTGCAGTGATACAGGCTTGTAATCCCATCTTTGGGACACTGAGGCATGAGGATCCCAAATTCAAGGGCAGCCTGAGCAACTTAGCAAAACCCTGTCTCAGAAGTAAAAAGGGCTCCCAGCAGCCTGGCATGCCAAGGCAGGAGGATCACAAGTTCAAAGCCAGCCTCAGCAATTTAATGAAACCTTATCTCTAAATAAATTATAAAGGAGCTGGGGATGTGGCTCAGTAGTTAAGTGCCCCTAGGTTCAATACCTGATACCGAAAAAATAAATAAAAGGGGTTAGGGGATGTAGCTCTATAATAGATCACTCCTGGGTTTAATCACTAAGTACCACAGGAGAAGAAGAAAAAACACTATGACCCCATTGAACAATAAAATTTTAGTGTCCTCTCTACATCCCCAAGTATCTACTACTCTCTTTATGAATTTACTTTAGGTKTATTATATAATTGGAATCATGTTAACATTTATCCTTTATAACTACCTTTTCACTTGGCATGATACCTTCAAGATTTATTCATTTTGTAGCATCAGAATTTTTCCCTTTTTAAGGCTGAGTAATAGTCCATTAGTATGTTCCATGTTTGTTTATCCATTGGATCTGTTCACAGACATTTGAGTTACTTTTGGCTATTGTGAATAATGCTGCCTTTATATAATTGTACAAAGATTTCATATTCCTGCTTTCAGTTCCTTGGAGCATATACTTAAGTGGAGTTGCCAGATCTTATAGTAATTCTATTTTTTTTTTTAAATTTTATTTTTGGTACTGGGGATGAACCCTGCCTGGGTCACTTAACTATTGAGCTATATCCTGAGCAGTGTGTGTGTGTGTGTGTGTGTGTGTGTGTGTGTGTGTGTGTGTATTTTTTAAGACATGATTTTGCTAAGTCGTTAGGACCTCACTAAATTGCTGAGGTTAGTTTTGAACTTGTAATCCTCCTGCCTCAGCCTCCTGAGTTGCTGGGATTACAGGAATGTGCCACTGGACCCAGCTATTTTTTAAGAATGCAATAAAAGGAAATTCTGTTAGTCTAATGTTGATAATTTAATTTATTAACTCTAGTTAAGTCTTAATCTCTCTCAAAGCTSTGAACTTATTTAATTAGGGAAAAGATTAAAATATTTGATTGAAAACTGGCTAGTTATGGCTGGGAATGTAGCTTAATGTTATAGTGTTTGCTTAGCATGCATGAGATTTGATCTCTAGCACTCAAAACAAGGAGTAAAAGTGGCTAAAGTGATACTTTAAAACTCTGGTAAAGTTTTCTACTTAATTCTCCCTGAAAACTTWAACACTTAAGAAAGACTGTTGGGATGTAAACCATCATCAAATAAAGATTGTATACACTTTTATTTATGTTTAGATAAAGAAAAGGCAGGTTCTCAAATATGAGTTCTCATGTGAATCCATTCTGAAAAGTGGTTCTTTCACAGAAAAAGAGCCGTTTTTTTGTTTGTTTGTTTGTTTGTTTTTTAACTTAGATTGAAAACAGGGTACATATTAGAACAAAACTTAAAATATAAAGTACAGCTATATTTGTAAAGAATAAAACTTGATTGTAAAGAAAAAAATAGAAACATCTTATTTTGATTTTCTGGAAAATTAAAGTATGATTGAGTTAACATTTGCTGGTTTCGATGCACTTACATATCTTCCCTGGATTTTAACATGAAGTTTTAACTTCAAGTTATTAATGTGATTAAACACGAAGTAATATGTGTTTATTTTTGGAATATTTATATTCCAATAAATATAAGCTCCATTAAAAAAGTAAGCCCCATAAACCACAAACACTTTTTGAGCATTTTACAAATATCCACTCTGTTGTAGGAAGTTACAAAATACAGGCAGGACCCAGCCTCTCCCCTCAAGGTAAATGTGGGTTTTGAGGAGAGCAAGATCTGCAAAMAAATCATTGATCACCTATTACACAGAAATATTGTACTGAGGATAGAGTAGTGATTATTTTTAGAATTACTGCACTGTAATAAGTAATGTTATTGGTAAGTATAACACATGTAAATGATGTAGAAACAAATGATTAAGAACCTCTGCTGGTTTGTCTTCACAAGGGCCTATACACAAATGTTCATAGCAGCTTTATTTGCAGTAGCCCAAACTGGAAACAACAGTCTGTCAACAGTTAAATGACAAACAGATTGTGATACATCCATTCAGTGACACAGTCCTCAGAAGTAGAAAGGAACAAAAAAATTCTTAAGCCCATGTTGTRGGAAATATGGATGAATCTCATAGTAATATCAAGTGAAAGAAGTATGAGTATTGCATGATTCCTGTATATAAAGTTCTAGACCAATGCAGTACTGTAATTTGCTACTTGGAAGTCTGAGGCAGRAGATTGGCAATTTAGCAAGACCCTGTCTTAAAATTAAGGGGGAAAAAAAAAAAAAAAAACAGGAATGGCTTGGGATGTTAACTCAGTGGCAGAGTGCCTCCCCAGTACTGCCAAAGAAAGACATGGAGGGAGGGAATTCCAGCTAATCCAAAATGACAAGCAAATTGATGATTTCTGAGGAGGAGCAAAAAGGAGACATTGCAAAGAAGCACAAAGAAACTTATAGGGATCACAGAAATGTTCCCTATCTTGATTGTGGTGATGATATATATGTCCTGACCTTTTTAAAGAATATATGCTGGGAACCCAGGTATGGTTGATTTCATAAATATGTTGGAATTATCCTTGGAGAGACAGGGCAAGTACTCCAGTAAACTTAAATTGGTAGAATGTCAAATGATACTGACAGAACTACTACAGGAATTCCATGGAGGGAAAGGTAATGTGGTATAACAGTAATATTAAGACAGCGTTTAATTATAGAAGTCTGAGTTTGAGTACCTGTTAGGCCGCTTCTTTTCTCTGATCTTTAGTTTTTTTAATGTATTTCATAAGACTTTTAAAATCCAAAGAAAATACATTTGAAAATACATTTTAATCTGAAAGGAATATAATAAATGGAAAGCATTGGTGATATCTCATGTTGAAAAATAACAAAATAGAGTAGAATTTAACCTGTTGAGAGTAATAAGGAAAGAATTCCAGAGGTGAGGAAGTGGATAATAGTATATTGAGAGAATGATGAGTCAAAGCCAATTTAAAGCAAAGAGTTTATATTGGAGAATAAGGGAGGGAGGGAGAGCAAGCCTAAAGCATCTAAAAGTGTAATAGAGCAGGGAGAAGATAAAAAGTGAGAAAGCTTAGCCACAGATACATTGTTGTTAGGAGCCTTGTAACCTTTGACAAATCACTTATTCTCTGAGGCTTAATTTCCTCATTAGTATAGTAGGAGATAATAGGCTTTTCTTAAGGATTTTGTATGTTGAAATCAATATTAAATAACAGCATYATGGAATATTATGAAATATATGAAATGTGACATCATGAAAGTGCTGAAATGTAACAAAGTCTGCGTGGTAACCAGGACATAAACTAATAAAATATCTGGATTGAGATATTGCATTTTAGAGACTATCTAAATAATGTTGGAGGATTAATTCCCTCTGGTAAAACTAAAGGTATGCAGACCAATCAGGATGCTGTTTAAGTAGTCTAGCACAGGGGCAGTAGAGAAAGGAAGGGGAGGGTGGATTTGAGATAGGTTTTAGTGATTGGGCCCATATTGGGAACAAAAGAAAAAAGTTGTATTAGTTTCATGATTATCACAAACTGGATGACTTAAAGCAACAAATTTATTTTCTCGGACTTCTGGAAGCCAGAAATTCTAAATCAGTATCTCTGGGTTGAAATCACGATGTTGACAGGTATCCATTTCCTCCAAAGGCTCTAAGGGAGAAACCATTCCTACTTCTTCCAGCTACAGGCATTCATCTTATAACCATATCATTCATCACTCCAGTTTCTGCGCACTGCCATAACCCCCTCGACCTCTCCTTTTTTATATCATCTTCTCTGTTTCAACTATCCCTCTGCCGCCTCCTCTTAAGGATATTTGTGATTGTACCTTTTTCTTTTTAGAGTTGGTGCTGTCATTGACCAGAGAACTTCAAAAAGAAGAGTACATTTGTGAGACATGATGATGAATTCATTTGGACCTGTTGAAGTACCTATGGGATATCTGAATGAGGAGTGACATTTTATATATCAGAAAACCTTGAGTCAAGTGGCTTAAACATTAAAGACATTTATTATTTCATACACCTAACGAACTGCTAGGGTAGGGCAACTTCAGAGTTAATTTGGCACTTTAATGGCATCATCAAAGTCAATTCTCAACTTTTTCTTTGCCATCCTTAGATTATAGCCTTCCCATGGTTACAAGACGGTCCCCACAATTCTGAATTATAGCCTTAATTCCAGAGATGAAAACAACACGTAGCTAGCTTGTTTGTGGGCTGTTTTGGAAGGGTGGAGGAGTGGCAATAAGATCCCTAGCAGGTTATATTTTTCTTGGTCAAAAAAATTTTCTTGATCACTGTCTTTTATCTAAAGCAAATCTTTTATATCGACAATGAAAATCTGTTGAGGTATGTATCTTATCCCATACACAAATCCAACATCTATTTTTTATGACTATCTTAAGTGATAGATGACAGAACAGCCCTACTGAGTACTTTCACTATCACCACTATTTTGTGACCCTAAAGCAGTGGTTATTGTGGTCTGGTAACTCTCTTGGGGATCCCAGAACTTTTCAGAGGTCAAAACAATTTCATAACAATATTTTAAGATATTTGCTGTTTCTTTCAGATTCTCTGAGATATATATGATGAAGTTTTTCAGAGGCACTTGAAACATGCTATCACAACAGACTGAATGCAAATGCAGATGTGAGAATTTGCTAATTTCCAATAAACTAGAATTCCAAGAGATTTGCAATTTTTCTTGCTTTTTTAAAAATATTTTTTAGTTGTCAATGGATCTTTTRTTTTTATTTACTTATTTATTTATACATGGTGCTGAGGATAGAACTTGGGGCCTCACACATACCAGGCAAGTGCTCTACCAATGAGCCACAACTCCAGCCCATTCTAGTCTTTTTGAGTCTGAAAAAATATAGGTTTTTGAAAAACTGTTGTATTAACAGATTTATTATTTTTCAATGAATCAATTTTTTTAATTTCTAATTTTAAACAGTAAATGTATATAGCACACATAAATAAGTTCTTTGGGATTCTCRATCCATTTTAACAGTGTAAAGGGGTTCTGAGACTAAAAGTGAAATCTGCTGTGCAGGATGGATACCATTCTAACCACATACTCCATAGTTTTTCCATTTCTTCAGTCTTTTTTTCCTTGTCTTTTGCAGATCATCATCAATTATTGTGTAGGTTTAGAATCTTCATATATTGCAAGATTAGTTGTGGGTACTTTGGTCATTTATACTGAGTATTTACCCCAATCACAGGGCAGCATGCTTTGTTTTCTCTGTATTAATGTTTGTCTTTACTAATGTGTTAATCTTTGCATTTTATTTTCACTATTATCACATATCTCTGTTCATTAGCACTTTCAGCATTCTTACTGTTTTTGTACTCACCTAACATGCTGCACTTAATAATATGCACCTCAAAACTTACCCATAGAGAGAACACACCAATCAAGACCAGAAAGCCAAGATTTACGATTATACAAGATTATATTATCTCTGGCTAGTGGGCTTTGAAAGATGACTTTGATTTATCAGTAAACATAATTTGGAGATGATCTATAGTTCTCCTGAATTTTTCTGTGAAGAGTACCTTTCAAGGTTTTGATGGAAGATAAAGCTGGTGAATAAAAAAATGAATACTAAACTTTATCATGTGTATGTTACATATAGGAAAAAACATAACATATATAAGGTTCAATACTACATCTGATTTCAGACAACCAAAGGGGGTCTTGGAGAAGGTATCCTCAGAGAAGAGGGGACTACTCTACTATATGAGATTTTAAGCAATGGGTGTGCCTGAGCAATTGAAGGTATAAATCATTAAAAAAATAAGAAATTTTGCAGTGGAATATTAGCTGAAGGAGAAAAAGCAAGTTCAGTTTCAGATGTCAAATTTGCAACATGGCATGCACAGTCAAAGGGAATCTAGCAAGATAGCTGGTCATTAGAAGCTCAGAACTGAAGTTCAGGAAGTTGGAGATTTGAGATTAATTCAGTCACTAATAGCTTTCTGTCCATGATGTTAACTCCTCTGTTTCTTGCTATCATATCTTGTGCATATATACTGTGTGCCAATCAGTGGACACTTTACATACACTTATTTAATTCCTAAAGCAAGCCTCAAAAAAGCTCATGAAACTTTTCTAAGGTCATCCAGCTACCTCAGTGACACAGCAGTGATTAAGATCTAGATCTGTCTGAATTACAAATCTATCACTCTTCCTGGTATACACTCTTGTCTTCAGGCAACATTAATACATTGATAATTGAATTAAATGTGAAATGTGACTATACATGAGGTGAAGGAATCTATTGCATTATGGAAAAAAACTAATTCTTCTAATTAATGCATAATGATTTATCAAGTCTCAGTGTTTTTATTCTTACAGCAATCTTATGTGTTTCAAAGGAACAGAGATACCAGGAATGTCTATGGCAGATCTAGGATTAGAAACCTTAATGGGAATTGAGTAGTAGTTATGATATAAGGTTTATATGGTTTATTGGGAAGATTTGGGGTAGTAAGTTTCTAAGAAAATTCAAATTAAACTGGGTAAGTAAGTTGGCATACTAGATACTTCAGAGGCTGAGGCAGGAGGATCCCTTGGAGCCCAAGAGACTTCATGGCTAGCCTGGGGAACATAGTAAGACTCCATTTAAAAGAAAAAAGAAAATTCTAATTAATAGATGTTTTCATAGGGCTGTATTTTAGGGTGTTTTTTTTAAGTATATATTTACAGATGGAAGAGTAACCTTTAAGTATTTTTCTGAGACCATCAGATAATCAATGTGCTAATATCTGGCATTTTCAGTCACTTATTTCTTTTTAAGTTGTTGGGTAGCAAGTACTACATCTAAGACAGCTTTTAAGATTCTGGTCTAGCCGGGCACAGTGCCACATGCCTGTAACCCCAGCAAGGTATAAAAGCTACATATTCATATTGACTAAGCAAGAATGAAAAAGTTTGCAGTATATCACATACAGTGTGGTACTATAAATTCCTTGAATTTTTGAAAATTTTACCTACATATTTGCTTGCCTTTTTAATAATATCTGCAGAGTAGAGAACTAGAAAAAAATCRAGTCATTCTCGCTGTCAAATCTCATAATTTTAAAAATGAGATTGAATTATTTTCATTATATTAAAATAAAAAGATTTATATAATTCTAGAACAGCTATGCCAGTGAAGTCTGTGATGTTATTTGCTTCCCTGATATTCTTTGGAGTTTTGATAAAGTCTGGCCTTGATGATGAGAAAGTTTTAGAAATAGGTACTGGTTGCACAACAGTGCAGATGTAGTTATTTCACTTAACTGTACCCTTAGAAATGATTAGAATGACAAGTTTTGTTATATATTTATATTTTATCATAGTATTTTAAAAATCTTTCCTTGCCTGTGGAGGTATATCACATACATGAATATATTGAAATTAATTAAAATACAAATGAGATTGGCAACTTGGAAAAGTTGCCAATGTTTTCTAAATAAAATACAATGTGAACAGTTAAAAGYAGTGAAGAGGGTTGGGGTTGTGGCTCAGTGGTAGAGTGCTTGCCTAGCATGTGTGAGGTACTGGGTTCAGTTTTCAGCACCACATATAAATAAATGTTTTTTTAAAATATTTTTTTAGTTGTTGATAGACCTATCAACAACTAAAAAAAATTTTTAAAAAACAGTGAARATACAGTAAAATGCCAAAATTTTATGCAATCCAATCTGATAATTTAAGTATTAGAGAGCTGTGAGACTAGTGGCCTTTGCAAAATTCCTCTACCTAGAGATTCTTTGAATTTGTAAATAAACTTTATTTTTATTAAGTAAGGGATTTAAAATCTGTGGGAGAAACCCAGGTRTATATCAAGAGATGAGTGGATAAACAAAATGTGATATATACATGCATTGTAATGTTATTTAATTTTTTTCTTAGAATTTTTTCACAGTACCTTTATTCTATTTATTTATTTGTTTATTTATTTATTTTTGTGCTGAGTATCAGACCCAGGTCCTCACTTGCCTTATGCTAGGCAAGTGCTCTACCACTAAGCTACAGCACCAGCCCRTTATTTAATTTTTAGAAAGAAAAGAAATTGACAGACACTACAATATAGAGCAATCTTAAGAACATGATGATAGCTGGGCATAGTGGCACCTACCTGTAATCCCAGCAGCTCAGGAAGCTTTTGCAGGAGGAAGGAGAGTTCAAAGCCACCCTCAGCAAAAGCAAGGTGCTAAGTAGCTCAGTGAACCCTGTCTCTAAATAAAATACAAAAAAGGACTGGGGATGTGGCTCAGTGGTTGAGTCCCTCTGAATTCATTCCCCATCCCCCTCCCCCAAATTATGCTAAGTAGAATATGCCAAACAAAAGGATCAATATTGCGGATTCCACTTAGGTAAGGTATCTAGTGTTGTAAAATTTATACAAAGAAGGACTGTAGTTACTAAACACTGGGGAGAGGGAGGAATGTTTCAAGAGTACTGAGTTTAAGTATGGAATGTTGAAAACCTTCTGGAGATASATACTGATAATGGTTTCCTAACAGTGTGAATGTACTGAATGTTACTGAAGTGTAGACTTAAAATTTTTATGTGTATTTTGCCACAATAAAAACCTAAGTAACTGCTGTGTATTAAGTGATTTAGGTGATGTCAGCTTTTTGSTTTGTATAGTGTTTTTGAAGAACATTATTTTTAAAATCGTGATAATAAGGGCATATCATCAATACAATAAAAAGCCTTTTCCCCATCTTTGTGAAACTGGGGATCAAACCCAGGGCCTTATGCATGATAGGCAAGAGTTGTACTACTGAGGTATTTCTTTAGCCCTTAAAATTGCATTTTAATATTCCACTGGAAATTTGGCAAGTACAACTGAAGAACTGAATTTTCAGTTTTATTTGATTTTAACTAACCATGTATGGCTAGTAGCAACTACATTAAACAGCACAGTTCTATRTTTTCTTCATCCTTTTACTTATTTTTTCTTTAATTTTTTTTTTTAGTTATAGTTGGACACAATACTTTCATATTATTTATTTATTTTTATGTGGTGCTGAGGATCAAACCCAGTGCCTCACAGGTGCTAGGTGAGCACTCTACTGCTGAGCGACAACCTCARACCCCTTTTACTTTCAGTCTACCTCTATCATGTTTAAAGTAAGTTTTTTATGGATAGCATATCATTGATTTATGTTTACAAATAAACATAAAGTAGTTGAAAATGTGGTGAAATGCCAGAATTTTGTTTGGGATAACTTCATTCTAATGATTTAAATGTTAGAAGGCAAAAGGACTATATGGCTTTCCCAAAATTTCTCTACCTAGAGATTCTTCAAATTTGCAAATAAACCTTGTTTTCATTAATTAAGTAGGGAATTTAAAATCTGTGGAAGAAACCATAGTGTGCCTCTACAGACCCTTTTGGCCAGTCTGTCTTTTACCTGGACTACTTAGATTTAGTGTCATTGATACGTGAAGATTTTGGTCTGCCATGATCTGTTTGTTCCCTCTGTTCTTTCTCTATTTTTTCTTCCTTTTGTGTTACTTRTACCTTTTTTAGAATTTTGTATTTATCCATAGTGTTTTGAGTGTAAATTTTTGTATAGGTTATTCTGAATTTGCTCTAGGTATTTATTTATTCAGAAGTAACTTGTCACAGTCTAAAACATTTTAA